AATCTCACAATGAGAAAAGATCAATATTCCATGCCTAGCCTAAAGGCACAAGCACAAAGGGCATGATCAAATAACTCCGCCGGGTAGTATAACATACTACACGGACGGATCCGTGGATCCAATAAACCAAGCCACATAAGCATACAAGGGAACGAGCTTGCTGATAAACTAGCCGAAAAGGCAGGGTATGCCCCCATCCTCCATGATCGTTAAACCCAGCCGAAGGGGACTAAGCCAAGGTACCAAAGCTGCAGCGTGTGCGGTCCTCCGGAGAGCACATAGAGAAAACATCACAAAATCGCTCGCTGCCAAGTGGTACTCAGATGCTTCAGGCTATGAGCCACTGGCCCTTCCTCCAAACACAAAAAGAGGTACCCAAGTCATACTATTCAGACTAAGACTAGGTTACCAATGCGCTTGGCAAATTATTGACAATGAGACTGCCAGGTTATGCAAACACTGCGGCGAGCCTAACGCCAGCCTGTTACATTAGTTGCAGAATTGTGTACACACACAATTTCTGAGACAGGGACCACCCACCACAGCCGCCGGGCTGGTAAAAAGGGTTTGCAACATGCTTACCCCGTGGCAGCTGGATCGCTTGCTTGCAATTCAGCCACCGCGATAAGCATGCAGTTCAAAGAAAACATCTGAGTTAACTAGAAATAGTTAACACAGGCCGGGCCACTCCAGAGAAAAGGCCCGGGCGAAGCATGACTTCGCAAATCTAACTGAACTGAACTGAATTGTATCATTATCATTTCTATTGTGTTATGGTATAAAATTATTAGAATATTGTTAATTATAGCTATTATTTCTTATATCAACAAAATTTATTAATTAATATTTTCTCATTAAATTTCTAATATTATCATTGTCACTATCTATCATACTTATCAGTTAACGACATAGTGGATTATCGTGGGAAAACTAATCATAATTATTAGACATAATGGCTAAACATCCTCATGATATCATTTAGAATCGAAAAAAGGGGTTTTCGACAATTCTCCTAACGGCTGTAATGGCTAGATTTTGCGTTTTTCGACTTTGGATTTTTTTACCTTTGGCCTTGTTTTCATTTATAATGGCTCATAACTTATCCGTTATAATTGTTACTATCCTTTTGTCATATTTTTTATCATTATTGTCATTATCATTAAGTAATAATTATCACCATAGATTATCATTATTATTATATTATTGCAGTTATATCACCATTATGGCATTATAATAGTCATTTCATCATTATAGACCCTTTCTATAATGATAAGCTAATGATAATTTTAGGTAATAACAGCAATAAATAGAAATAAATACAGTAATAGCATTATCCTTAAGCATTTCTATGTTGCTATTGATTAAAATTATTAGAATATTGTTAATTATTGTTATTATTTCTCTATTATCATCAAAATTATCATTCGAATTATTTTTTATCATTATTCTAATTATCATTGTCATTATTATCATTACATAATACTCGTCACCATTAGTGGGATTATCGTGGAAATTATCATAATTATCAGAATTATGCTAAATGCTCAAATAATTATCATTTAGAATCGAAAAAGGGGGTTTCGACCATTCTCTCAAAAGGCTGTAATTGGCTAGATTTTGCCGTTTTTCGACTTTTGGGATTTTTACTTTTATGCTTTTTTAATATAAATGGGCTCAATAATTTCATTAGATATTTTATTTTTGTTCATATTATAATCATTATTGTCATTATTCATCATTAAGTAAAATAAAATTATCATTATATTATTAGCAGTTATTGCATTATTGCATTATTATCATTATATTATGAGCAATTATATGTCAGATATTCATCATTATATCCCTTTCTAATATATAATAAATAAATAATGATATTTAGGAAAAATAAAAACAGTAAAAGCAATTATCATTTCATTTCTATTTGTTTAATTGTATAAAATATAGAATATGTTAATTATTGCTATTATTCTATTTCATCAAAATTATCATTCCAATTATTATTTTATCATTATTCTAATTATCATTGTCATTATTATCATTATTATCATTATTATCATAATTATCGTCATTAGTGGGATTATCGTGGAAATTACCATAATTATTAGAATTATACCTAAAATCACTCATATATCATTTAGAATCGAAAAGTTTTTTTTCGACCATTCTCTCATTATAATGGCTCAATAATTATCATTATGATTTTATTATCCTTTTTGACCATATTATTATCATATTGTCATTATCATCATCATAAAAGTAATAATTATCACCCATAATACCATGATGATTATGCAGTTATTATCATCATTTTGGCAATTATTAAATGTCATTTTCATCAATAACAGCAATAAATAGAAATTAGATATAACAGTAAATAGAATTATCAATCATTCTATGTTGTGATGGTATAAATTATTATAATATTGTTAATTATTGCTATTATTTCTATTATCATCAAAATTATCATTAGAATTATTATTTTATCATTATTCTAATTATCATTGTCATTATTATTATTATTATCATAATTATCGTCAACATTAGTGGGATTACCGTGGAAATTATCATAATTATCAGAATTAATGCTAATCCTTCATAATCATCATCTAGGAACGGAAAAGGAGGGTTTTCGACCAATTCTCTCAAAGGCTGTACTGGCTAGATTTGCCGTTTTTCGACTGTTGGATTTTAATTTTCCTTTAGCTTTTTTTCAATTATAAATGGGCTCAATAATATGAAGCATTATGATATTATTATCCTTGATTTGTCATTATTATTTTCATTATTTTCATAATTTAGAATAATAATGCAATAGTTAATTAATTATAATGACATATGATAATTATTGTTATTACTCATCTCTATTGTCATATAATTTAGTATTGAAAATTATTAGAATAGAGTTCATTATTGCTATTATTGCGCGAGTAATGTACAAAATTAATCATTATAATTATGATTTTATCATTATTATCATTATTATACTGTCATTATCATTGTCATTATTGATCATATTAATCATTCTGTGTATATAATGAAAGGAATTATCATGAAAAATATATCACATGTACTGAATGAATAGTTTAAAATCCTTCATAATTAAACAATACAATAAGCGGAAAAGGTTTTTTTTTTCGACGTTTCTCTCTCCAAAAGGCTAAGATCATCTACGCTAGATTTTATCCCGTGTTCGAACTTCTGGATTATATTACTTTGGCACTTATTTATTCTAAAATGGACATAGACAATATATTATAATCATTATATAATTACTGTAAATATATTAATTATGATTATACATGTAGTCATTATCAATCATGAATTAATGCCATATCACTTTTATTTGCAGTTTAATGATTATTATGGCCCTAATACTTATAGCTATTATTTATTCAATTATATCTATTTTGTATAAATGATAATTAGCAAAATAAATAATTTTAGAATACCATAAATGACAATAGTAAATAATTTGGTAATGACAATGATAATGATTTATTAAATTATTTCTAATTCATTATTAGTAGAAAATATTGGCATAAGTTGATTATTGCTAGTGTTTGCAGTGACTTATCAAAATTATTCCTATATATAGATTTATCATTATTATCATTATATTGCATTATCATTGTCATTATCATCAACCATAATTACATTATGTATATAAGAAGGAATGAATCATGAATCATCACAATTACCTGAATGAATGTTAAAATCCTCATAATTACCAATAAAAAGCGAAAAAGGTTTTTTCGGCCGTTTCTCTCAAAAGCGCTAGATTTTTAGGCGTTCTTTCAACTTCTGGGGATTTATTANCAGATTTTGATACGCTTTCAGCTAAAAGATCATTGCTTGCCAAGGGTATGGACTTCCCTCATCCTGACTACAAAGAACCCCTGCCGTGGGCAAAAGAAATGATCGAATTCTCAATTCTAACTCTCACCATGAGAAAAGATCAATATTCCAAGCCATATAGGCATACAAGGGAACGAGCTTGCTGATAAACTAGCCGAAAAGGGCAGGGGTATGCCCCCATCCTCCATGATCGTTAAAACCCAGCCGAAGGGGACTGAGCCAAGGTACCAAAGCTGCAGCGTGTGCGGTCCTCGGGGAGCACATAGAGAAAACATCACAAAATCGCTCGCTGCCAAGTGGTACTCAGATGCTTCAGGCTATGAGCCACTGGCCCTTCCTCCAAATACAAAAAGTACCGAAGTCATACTATTCAGACTAAGACTAGGTTACCAATGCGCTTGGCAAATTATTGACAATGAGACTGGGAGGTTATGTAAACACTGCGGCGAGCTTAACGCCACCCTGTTACATTACTTGCAGAATTGTGTACACACAATTTCTAAGGCAGGGACCACCCACCACAGCGCCGGCTGGGTAAAAAGGGTGTGCACATGCTTTCTCCATGCAGCTGGATCGCTTGCTTGCAATCCAGCCACCGCGATAAGCATGCAGTTCAAAGAAAAGGTCTGAGTTAACTAGAAATAGTTAACACAGGCCGGGCCACTCCAGAGAAAAGGCCCGGGCGAAGCATGACTTCGCAAATCTAACTGAACTGAACTCCTTCCTCAGACCCAAAGATGGGATCGAGGACAATTCCGAATCTGTTGTCTCACTTTCCTCAATAAATCTAGTTTGTGCATTGTGGGTTTTTCTACCATAGTATCAACACGATAGAATGTTTTTCTATTCATGTATATATATAAATCCCCAAATATTGCATTTCAGTCAAATAAAGGACTAACGGTGCTCTAAATAAATGTAGAGGTTCTATGATGTCTAACCAAAACTTTCTGCGCGTTATATTAGATCTGCCAATTAGTGCTTAAAAATAGGTAGGTTTGTGATACACAAGCACAACAGCTTTGATTTATTGTTTTTTTACATGTTCATTTAATGATGTTCCAACATATACATGTACTGAATGCAGACACAGTAAGGCTGAGAAACAGCCACACACAAGAAACACACACTCAAGCTCCTCGCATCTAGTCGCGCTTTCGCTTGCCCTTGGAGGAGCAGAGTCTCGCGCATCCTACGGCGAGGAGCTTCACGAGGAGGTACGTGATCCCGATCGCCACTGCCGCCGCGGTCATCACATCGACGACCTGGTACCTGATTAAGATTAGATTGTTACCTTAACCTTTTTTTTGAAATAAAACAAATGAAAATTTATGGATGATATATGAAATCCTACTGAAAACGAAAGTATTGGATACGCTGATGCCTCCTGTACGTGTCTCAGTAATGCTGAGCATTCGACTCACCACGCCATGGCGACCACGGGCGACCGCAGGTGAGGCGCTCCCTTGTGCCTGATGACGTAGTTCACCCAGTAGGATGCGACTTCCCCCGCGGGCTGAGGCTGATCCTTCATCACTCGGGAGCGTCGCTTTGCTTCTTGTCTCATGCTGCAACACACGGGCTAGTGAGTGGCAGTCGGTGCCTCGAGGCTGGATGAGTGTGGCCACGTGGACCAGTTTCACGAAATGTCTTTACTTCGGGGGTTCGCAACCTCTACAGTCTAGCGACACGCAGACAATATTTGCTAGATCAATTACAAATCTTTATTTCAGTATTATATCATCCAAATGTATTATGCATATAGTTATAATATATCCTTGAAAATGTCCAACTGCTGCAAATAACTGCATAAAAATACAATTCTAACTGCATTTGTATAACATGGGGCAGCTGAGAGCAATCTAATTATCATTGACATATGCGTTACTAAATTATTATTATTTTTTTTTATCTACCTAGTGGTGTTTTTCAGCCAGTAGCTATCCGAATTTTCCTAATGTTCCAGACTAAAGGATTAGTGTATTAAGAGGTAAGGATATGCATAAAATGTGTATATAATATACTGTATACATGTGTATATATATATATTATATATATATAATATATATATATATATATATATATTATATATATATATATATATATATATATATATATATATATATATATATATATATATATATATATACATATATATATACATATATATATATATATATATATATATATATATATATATATATATATATATATATATATATATATATATGGTGTGACGGCGTCATAGCCTAGCAGTGTTAAGTGCCTTCTTACTTTCAGCTGCGATCACTGGCTAGCTTAATGTGAAAAGGGAGTAGCTCTGTATAAGCCTCCCCTGCCAGTTTATAGCCTCTCCATCATCGAGACCTGCAGTGCCTCCCCATGGCCACCCATGAAACTGGGTACATTGTGGTCCCAGGCTAAACTGTGGGGGAATCTTGGAGCAGCAAGAGGTCCTAGAGGTACAGTCATGGCTCACCAGTGTGTAAACACGCCCTGGCTTTGTACCAACTCCTACCCCTCAGCCCCCTGGTGTTAATGGTAGCTCGGTGGGCCTTGCATTTCTCTCCCCTTCCCTCAGATATAACGCATCGGCAGTATCGAATAAAAAGAAATGCTGTGGAAAATGGGAAATGCCCCTCCTACCCAACATGTGAGCACGCTGTGGCCCCGTTGGGAGGGCGACTGCTGGGGCGCAAGATGGGAATGGGAGCTAGTCGTTTCTCCTGTGTTCTGGCAGCTGCCAACCCACTTAGAGTGAAGGCCCAAGGTTAAACCTCAAGCAGGATGTCAGGGTGGGGGCTTGGAAACATCTGCTCTTTGTTGTCAGATGATTGGTTGCCACTACTGTCGAGGAATTGAGGAGGCTGAGAGTTGAGGTGGATGCTCTCTCGGAGTGTGAGAAGTCCTGGCAGCGGCTGGTTAAGCTGCAGAAATGGTCACCATTTCAGGAGCATCCATAGCATCTCTAGCAGATTTCGGCCAGTGGTAGTAGAGGTTACTCGGGGCGTTAGTGTATAATGGGTTGAGACTGAAGCTTACATTTGCTCATGTCTCTTATTGCTGTGTACACTCCTACCGATGTTTGCAAACTCGATGTGAAAAGAAATGTTTTACACCAAACTTGCATCTGTCACACAGTTGTTCTCAACAAAATATTCATATTGTTCTTGGGTGACTTCATGTGAATATGGCTGTCATCGAGTTGGCTATGAGATATCTGTCGGTCCCCATGGTTGGGAATGATGCCAGCAGTGAGAAATAGCCTCCTTTTCTGGGGCTTTGCACGGTCCCAGAAACTGAGATTTCTGGCTCTTGATACCAGCACTACCCTCATCGTTGGATGTCATACAGTGATGCAGGTGATGCAGCCAAGGAGATCGACCACATCCTTGTTAGCATTGTTGGGGGATCCTCCAGAACTACAGGGCGTAAAGTAGTGCCGAATTCTATGATACTGATCATAGATTAGTTGTGGCTACCCTCCAGGTCCAATTCTAAACTCCCAGCAGTCCAATGACCACTCTAGGTTTTCATCTGGACAGGTTGAGAGAGGGGAGGTGTGCCCGGGTTTTTTGAGTCATTCTTGTCGTTTCTTAGCTCGACTTACCTGCACGGACCCTGTACTTAGTGTGGGTTATTCCTTTCAACGTCGTGAAATGGTTTATGCAGTGTCTCAGAATCATTTGGTGTGATTATGACCCTATAAGCAAGATTGTGTAAATTATGAAACTTGACAGGAGAGCACCTGGAAGCACAGATGCTTATCTATGCATAACTTACGTCTGGACTCAGGGAAGGGATTTTTGGTTGACGATTGTAGAGTGACATTACTCGGCGACTTCGATGGATAGACCATAAGTCAAGTATTTCAGTGCAGTCATGGCACATGAAGCCCTTCTGGGAAAAGGACTGTGGTGCTAGTCCTCTATCCAACTCAAGTCGACTCGACAGTGGGCGAGCACATTGGCACTGCAGGTTAAGGGCCAGCTATGCGCAGAGTATGGGGTAGTGGTGAATTGTAAGATAAATGAGTTGTGACCAGCGCTGGGAGTCTCCAAACAAGATAGTAAGCATAATGGGGGCATGAGAGTGTGTTCAAGATTGCGTGCCAACTCACTCGAAGCCATGGAAGTTGGATCCCAACCTCACGCCATTTTCACGTTGAATGGTTAAGGGAGATTGCGCAAGACTTGTGAGAGAGGAGGAGTAGCAGTGAGACGGAGTGAGACGAGCATGCGGCAAGTGCACCAGACCGACTGAACTGGCATTTTAGGCACGTTGAAGAGAGGTCGGTTGACCAGTGGTTAGGGCTGCGTTGTTGCATGACGTTCAGGCAGAGGTCAAAAAGATGGACAGCAGCGAAATTTCAGCGTGCAAAAGTACGTGAGATGGTAAGGAATCAAACAAGTTGCGAGATAGTAATTAGACTAATAGCGAGTGCCTGTTGAACAGGGTTACCTTGAAAGCGGAAAGGTGGGGGGAGAGATAGAGAGATGCGAGAGAGAGAGGGGAGAGAGGGGACGGAGAGAAGAGAGAGAGAGAGAGCAGGGAAGGAGAGAGAAGATGTGTGGGAGAGTAGGAGAATTGTTAGATAGAGACGAGAGAGAGAGAGAGGACGGGTGGGGGAGAGGGAGAGAGAGAGAGAGAGAGATGGAGATGATGAGAGCAGTGATGAGATCTTTACGTGTAGAGCCACTACACATATCTCTCTGACGTGCTCATCTCTCTCTACTCTCTTGTCTCTCGTATCTTGACTTCTTGACTTCACGTGCGAGATGGGAGTGAGAGATCCTTCGATCTGCGGATGAGACCCTCTCGACGAGATCTCGTCTCGGTGGGGCTCTCTCTACTTGGCCGTCGTACTTTCTCTCCCACTCTCTGTGATGAGGAGCTCTTTTGAAGATGAGAAAAGGACGTTTGACGATGCCGAAGAGAGGAGAGAGACGGAGAGATGAAGGACAGTGAAGACTGTGTATTGATGATAGAAATCCGCACGAGAGACAGACAGCCAGGTAAGCAACTTTTTTTTGGATAGAAGTTCTCCAGACTAGACGAGACGCAAGTAGATACTGACGATCATTATTCTACACGCACACACACACACCTCTCACGCGGCATCTACATCACAACACAGCATCACATCTTAGAGCCAACAATGTCCTCTAGCTACCACAAATTTTTCAATGCTTTGCATGACTGAAATAATGTGAACAAGGTTTTAACTGTACTCTTAACATAACCAATTTCGGATGTGTGCAACTTCGAGCAATATTATTTCAGGGTTACGTTAGAACCGTACTTTAGCTGAATGATGTTGCCTGATTTTCAATCTGAGTCTTTTTAGACTAAGAGGATTTATTGATAAAGTCTTAATGTGTTATTTCCAAGGCTCCTGATAATGCGTTTTGGTTTAGATTTACATATTGTGAGTGATAATAGTGTAGAGTACCTTGTGCCGGTAGTTAATTCTATGCTTCGGTAATAGATAAGTGTGAATCATGAGTAGTGCTAACTTGCGACCAATAAATTGTTAATCAAGATGAGGAGCATACACTGTAGAGGCGTGCAAGCAAGTACGGTATATCGCTTATAGTTTTAGACCGTAATTTTTGTACTGATAACAATATAATATCTTGAGATGTGTGGTGCTCGCAGCTCAGGCAGTAGCAAGCCACCTGGCTCGCTTCATAAAGGTGATCGCTGCCCAGCATATTGTGTACTGTGCAAAAAGGATAGGCGATTAGATGGGGAGCCTGGGGATCGACCTAGGTTTTGTGTGTGCTGTGTGCCAGACGATTCAAACCTGTCATTGAGAGAGCTTGAGAATAGCCAGAGATCCCTGCGTGGCAGGGACTTGGTTCATCAAGAGATGCCTCGATGATGAGAAGGGGGAGATGCGGTACACCCGCTGTAGCATTAGCTCACAATAATTGATGATAACATATATATACAGTATTATATGGTTAGTTTATTATATAGTAATATAGTTTATGAAGAGTATATAGATTGGACTGTGATAATTAGTTTCTCTTCTCTCTCTCTCTTCTCTCATATCAAATATATATATAGATAAGTATATGTACGTTTTTTAATTTGTCTATCAGTGGTGGGTGTTTATATATATCATGTGTTCATACTTCATAGATTGGCCAGAATGTCTACTCTCTCTTCCTCACTTCACAGGTACCCCGTGTATATCCAACAAAAGGGAAAATTCGCCAAAAAGGCTACACTGCCGCCTCAGAATAATAAAAACTGCTCAGTCTCTCCGGCCACCTGTGTCTATTACCTCTGATCGTCCATGACCGAGCGAATCCCTTCCGTCAAGACCTCCTCTGACAGCTGGTCCCAGAAGATGACTTTGCCCCAGCCCTCCCTCGCCACCTGAACCATGTTGGTGTGCTGGTCCCCCATCACGGGCAAGCCAAGAACCGGGATGCCATGGTACGTGGACTCCATTGTGCTCAGTTGTCCGCCGTGTGTCATGAAGAGGCGGAGGGACGCGTGGCCTGCAACAGAAAATCCTCACATTTATTGGAAATCACAAACAATGAGTTGATCGTGTTTATCTATTTGTATGTATTGCATCCACTCTTGTTACAATTTTATTGTGAATGATTGACTGGCAGTTCACTAAAACCGACTGCTTATACTCATCATGAACCCCCACGGCATTTCTCAGACTGCTCCACGAAATGATTGTAAATAACTGTCATGTCTTCCTCAGATAAATGCATCTCTGACCTAGAATGTCTTGCTGCGGGAGCCACTTCCCGAGCCGCACGTTGGGGGGTAGGTCGGGCATGTCCTCCTGGTCCCACTTCCACAACACGCGCTGCTTCAGGGACCCAAACACCTTCACTAAGACCTGGCGGTACCTGGGGTGAAATTGGGCGCTGGTTTAGCCAGTCTGGATAGAGTTAGAGCATGTTCTAATAAGAGTAGTAGTAGACTAATACAAATATAAATTATGGTCATATTATACCGTTCTACCATGAGCGTTATTTGTGTGAGCAGTGGGGGGGTCGTCCCTTCTAAGCAATGAGGTAAACAAATACAAAATCTGTCTCTATACAGTAACACATGTACAGTAGAGAATTTATAGGAAAGACGAAGGCCCCAGAATAGGGTTGGACTTCAAGTACTCTCCCTGTTTTTAAAGCCTGTAAATGGCCAATAAACTTTCAAACATGATTTTACACTAATTCCGGTAAATGTCTATTAAGCATTTCCAAAAGCATTTCCGCATGAATCGTGGCAAAAATACTGGGACTGCGTGGGAGGTAACGTTCACCTGGGACATTTTGGACTATAGTTTCCATCAAGCTCATGATTAAGATTAGATTATTCGAACAGATCATTCATAAATATGATGAATCATTTAGATAGAGGACTTCATATCGACCCCCGGACGCTGTTCACCCAAATGGCCTCCCCGTTCAGCCTCAAACCGCCAGTCCTTTGCTTCGGTTGGGGTCGAGCTGGGGGCGTGCCTCACGGATCCTGCTCCGCCGATGGAGTGCGAATGACGCCACTGAACGCTGCTAGCAATACAACTCCCAACAGGGTAATACAAAGAATAATCGATATTACAGTTATCGTCGCATTCATTACGATCACGGACTTATAATCATAATTATCAGCCTATTCGGAAGGCCGGCCCCACTAGAGATTAACGGCCGGTTTGTTAGAATTGTGCGAGGCTCGACCCAAATATTCGTATACTTGGTATGCATAAGTAAAAGAAATAAATAATATTTATCAGTCTAGACATGCATATCAACCCGGCAAATAGACGGTTAAATGTATATCTATCCGATATATAGACAGATTTGCCTTCATTTCTGCATCTATATTTATGAAAATTCATTGGGTCGGGCCTGGCACAATTTTAACTGTAAGACATTGAAGAAGGCAGCGACCATGTAATGTAAAACGGGACAAGCTTGAAGAAGATAATTATCGCTGGTTACTGGCATCAATCATAAGCGTCGTCGCAGCACTACCGAAAAACCGTAGGAGGATAGCGATTGGTAAAGGCAATGGCAAATGAAGTGGCTTAGAAGTGTCCATAATATCCCTGGTGATAATATGGACATTAGAGCGTTATCTCTTTTCCTCTTATCGATTATTATTTTAAGGGGCGGTAACTTGTGTACATGCAGGTCTGATAAAGGTCTAAATAAGTACTTATATAAGTACCTTGCCAGTGATAACACGACAGAGAGCATCTTTCTCTTCGGGATCTCTGGGCTTTCCAGGGTGCAATGAAAAACTCTGTAATCCGCTTAAAGAAATGATCAATATCTTTAAGTATCTAGAAAGCCATCAACAGTTACATTAAACATATATAAAACAATTAGAGGTAATTACCATAAAATTCGTTTTTTACTATCAAAAACAATAAACAAGAAAAGACTAATTTGAAATTAAGCATGCGCCATGAAATACGAAACAACGGCAAAAACGGGGAATAGGCCCTTGTGCTCCTTGCTGTTCAAGGGAGAAGTACTATGCGCGGTGTTATTCAAGCGAGAGGCATGTGCGGTCTTGTGAGCGGTCTGGTACGGCGGTGCTTTTCGCAGCTGAAACACTACGCCTGGTTGGGCGGATACAACTCGGGTTCTAGACGAAGACACGGCCAGTTGAATCGCGCCTTTACTGCTTATTCAGTTCATTCTGACTTTGCCCTACATGGACGGGGAATATGAAGAATAGCCTTTATAACCATACTTACTCCTCGGGCATATCCGATGGCAAGCAGATCCTAGACTGAAGAAGATGAAACCGTCTTCGCCAGCTCCTTGAACCCATTCCTCCAGGTCCTGTGCGGAATTGAATATGGAGGACATAAATCGACAATCATAAAATGTCATCTTTTACATGTTTCCGTATTTTGCTGTAACAGTGATTGATGGAATATGTTGAGGTATGCTGCAGTTGCGGTATGTTTGTGCTCATAGTCACCTGTACACAAAAATAAAAATAAACGCTGCTACAGTATGAACGCTTTATACTGTTCCGTTCCTTTTGAGGCAGAGTTTCTTTTGTTTTTTTATGTTATGTTGCAATTGAGGTATGTTTGCATCTAAACTTGTTGCACTAATGTTGCAGCCTTACCTGAGGAAGGGGCTGAGCAGGCCGGCAGTGGATCCCGCCGGCAGCAATGGCGTTCGGGACGAGAGGTCGAGCGGGGTTGTCCAAGGTTCTCACACTGAAAAAAGATCCAATACACTGAAACTTGGAAATCCTCTNACACACAACAACACACACACACACACACACACACACACACACAGCACACACACACACACA